TCGTCGGTCGCGCTTTTCAAAAGTCGTCTTCGATCGAGGCCCCGACGCCAGACTCAATCGAAAACACAGTGGTGCGCGAACGAGACCTCGAAATCCCGCACGACGGCGACAATGGCACGAAAGAAACAGAAAAACGTCAGACGAGAAGAGAGACAAGAAAGTGGTGGTTGAGGAGAGCGACACAAAGGAGGTGGCTTCTTCCACACGACACCAGACACGAGGATTTCTCGAGCCAAGAAAAACAAACGAAACGGGACCAATGCGCCGAGACCCGTTCAAAGAGGGACCCCGCGGGAGGGCCTCCTCGCGACGTCACTGCCCCCGGACGGCGTCGAGCTCGCGTGCCCCCCCGAGATGGGCAACTTTCAGGCTCGTTCGAGCTTCAGTTCTAGCGAGAGTTCGCGATAAACTCCTCCCTGAGGGCTGGAGGGTCGGAAGCCTGGCATCTGGCTCGTTTTTTCCGCAGAAAGACCCATCCACGGGTCTAGGCTGTGGGCTTAACAAGAAGGTGGCTTCCTTTTTTTTTTTTTTTTTTATTTCTGATTTTCGTTTGCGGGTTTAGTGTTTTGAACGTCAGCTCTGAGGGCCGTCGAGGGAAACAGTATATTTCGTCTAGATTTCACTCAGGGAAAAGGGGGACGGTAGATCGTGGCTGCCCTGTATGTACTCCTCGCTCGTTCCTACAAAGAAGGGCCGTTATAAATTTTGCCCCGTCGCAGAAAAGCCCGCTGTTACGGAAGAGCAGCTCACTCGGTCCCCCCAAAACGGACCTAGCTCTATTCGTATATCTGGTCGGCCACGCAAGCTGAGGAAAGAGCGACTCGTGGACAAGACAGCTTCGAAGGCGCGACACCCGATCGGCTCTGTCCTCCAGAGCTCCCCGCAAAAACACCAAATTCCGGGGAAGCGGAGTGCCAGCACATTTCGTCTATATCGTAGCCCCGAGCGGGATCGATTGGTGCACTGCGGTCGCTCGATGGTCACCTAGATTCACGTGACACGGGGACAGGTATTTTCTCCGCCTTGCATCGCTTTGGTTGGGATTTAACGCGTAGCAGCAGAACGCTAAGTATCCTTTCTGTTTGCTATGACCCAAAAAGTGCCTACAACGATACCTAGGAACTAATCCGAACATGTCAACCGAAACGACCGGAAGTTTTGCGTAGGTTATGATGGAATCCTATACGATAGCTTCATGGCCGCCAATGCTTCTGAGATAGTTTGCCGTGGAGACTAACGAGCTGACTTCTACGTGCTCTTCGCGCGCTTCCCGACTTCGCGCGCTTCCCGAAGAAACGAAATACGTACATACTCCAAACTACAACTTCTACCTGAAGGCCGCTCGAACCACGATTCCGCCATTGTTACATCGTGGGCTTCACACGCCCTCCACATACTCGCGATCACGGATGCGTCAAAGCGCCCTCTATCCGCCGGTCGTACAACTACTAAGAGGAAAAGGTCTATACCACATCGCTCATCGAACAAACAAATAGAGTTCCGAGTATATTTCTATGACGCTGCTTCGGATACCTATAATCCATAGCGTACTATAATCACTGATCTGTACACTCAAAGAATCATTATCTGAATGCGCTTTTTGTAAACTCGACATATGCTCGAACTAATTTCTTCGGTACACATTCCACTTTTTTGAAAAGTGCAAAATCGATATACCTCTAGCGTGTCGCCCTCAACCCGAAGCATCGCACCAGGTGAAAGCGGTCACTGATTGCAACCGATCGACCGCCCGCGTGGCACAACAACTCGTGCCCGGACCTCATGCCCAATGCCTCCCCGACCAACCAGCCGAACACACCCTAAGATCACGATGAAAGTTGAAGAGACCCCGAGCCCTGCCGATCCTTTGGAAGCTCTCCTTCCGCGGTCACCGCGCAATCGAGCAACTCCAAAGAGCGGGCGCGGAACGTGCGGCAGTTCTGGTCCGTCGGCAGGTCAACCAACCGCCCACGTCCTCGGGAAGATCGTGACCGGTTTCGGCAAAGGGGTATCCCCTCCTTCGGCCCTCTTGAACCTCTACGCCTCCCGCTGGGCGGACAGCCAAACCTTGGGCGCACCCTGCTGGAAGATCTGCACTCCTCTCTTCCGCCCCGTGCCATAGCTCTCTCTTCCGCCGTTCTTCCTTCGACGGAACGCCAACAACAACGCAGTTCTTCTTTCTTTCAAAACACAGCGCCCTGGGAGAGATCTGCCTTTGCATTGCAGGGAGCATAGGAAAAACGGCTCACTGGCCGACTCCTAAAAGCAACATTATACGTCTATTTTTTGTTTATATATATATATATATATGAGAAGAGCAGATGCTTGAATCTGAAGCAACTTGTGGCCAGTGTTTTTAAGCAAAGGTCAAGTTAAGGTCCGTTCACACACCTGCAACCGAGTAGGACCGGACAAAACAAGACAAAACCGGTCTTGTCTCAGTCGGTCCTACTCGGTTGCGAGCGTGTGAATGGGCGTTTAGGCTTCAGCGAGCGGCAAGAGCATAAGGTTCGTTGACGGTAAATATCTCGTCGTGGTATGCTTGCCGAGAACCACTCTTGTCTTGAGCACTCATTTGCGTTTCACTACGAGTTCACACGCTTGCGTTTGACTAGGACCGATTGAGACTACGACCGACTACATTACTGCGCGGATGGCCGCAAGCCGTCGCAAGGGGCTTAAAGACCGGTCTCAGTCGGTCGTATAGTCCAATGGTAGTCTGTGAACGGGACAGTGGGGAGTTTTAGCAAGTCAGATTTGGAGCACACGGCTCCGAAATCATGAACGGTGCAGTTGCTCCGTTCCGTGAAATCGCAGGTAAAATTTTACGCGTCTTAGCAAATCGTAAAGCTCGCGCAACCGTTCGAACTCTGATGATGATTGCATTTGACACGCAGCGCCATCTCGTAGTAAGCATCTGAAACGTTCCACAGCGTGCAAATCTGTGACTCGCGTTTCATGGCGCACACTGTTGTAAACAAGACGGCTGAGGTAACAATCACCTGTCGGAATCTCAAGATTTCTGGTCAGATAAAGCAAAATGTCCCAACGACCACAAAGATAGGTGATCTGTCTCTATGATCTCGAACGACGGTTTACGTCCTGTGCCATTCGTCTGCTCGTGGTAGCCACGGCGGCTCGTTAGTCCGGACCACGAAAATTGAATCCCAGTTCGCAGCATTCACGATTGCTTGCCGTTGTGAGCAGAGCAGTCTGGGGGCTCTGCTCGACGTAGTCCTGCGTCGTGATCCCTCCCTGCTTACTGCGGCAGCGCGGACTCCCGAGCGTTGATGTTGTCAATAGAGGCAGCGCCGTTATCTCGGACTTCGTTGGCCTTGAAGTCACTGAACACGACTTCCAAGGAACCTATCGCCTTTCTACGTAGTATCCCCCACAGTGGTAACCCGCAATGTATCTGGACTGTTGCTATAGCTTACGGATAAATTCATGTGAGAAACGATAAAGCAACAGGTTTCCCAAAAATGAATATCAAACTTAAACCAAAACCAACTTTTTCTGAAGGTTCAGACCCATATTAAGCATCGACTCTCCGATAAAAATACGCGGAGTGGTTCATTAGGTACATCAGCCTATTAACTTGTAACTAAGCGAATTTTATCAAAGTCAATTTCGTTTTAAGCGAGAAAGAAATGTTTCAAGTTGAGCACCAGCATGCAGCATCCAAGATAATGCTTGGAATGTAGATGTTCGGGCCTCGTGCCCTCGCCTTCCCCGTATAAAATATCCCAAGTAACTAACCAAAATAAGGCGTTGACGAACGCGTGTGCAAAAGGCCATTTGGTTTAGGCTTTTGCTGTAGAACGGCTACTGCTGCAGACGTGAGCACATTCCGGCGGTAGGGCTATTCGTCGACAGACAATTCGTAACGGGTCAATCGGTAGCGGGGCAGTTCGTCACATTTCGTCATAGAGCAATTCTTTGCGGTGACAGTTCGTCAGACTATTGAAATAACCTTATTTTTCCGTTCTATTTTCCTAGCGCCGAGCATATTGCTCCCCTCGGGTGAGGCCCTATTGACACAAATGCTACGAGTCTCTTATAATAGCTGGTTGATTCGCTTTTACGTTCGCAGTAGACGCTGTCTGGTTTCCCGGGACGATCGGGCTACGAGTCGTCCCGGTAACTATAATCACCGAATGCTGGGTGTTCCTGGGGTTGCTCAAGAAAGAGCTGGCCGAAATGAAGCCAAGCCCGTCTGGATAAGACTGTCGAGGAAGCAAGAAGCAAGCGCCTTCAAGTAATCTTTTCGACGGCACGACGGAACCGACCGCACAGACACCTTCTAGGCGGGTGCCCGAAACATTTCACTGTAGATGTATCTAAAGGCTAGAGTGACCATTTCTAAATAAATTCGTTTGGACAAGCTCGCATAATTGCCGCTGACTTCCGATTAGTTACCGGGACGACTTGTACCCGGGTTCTGTAGGGAGTCCCGGGAAATCAGACAACGCCTATTGCGAAAGTAACAGCGATTCAACCAGATATCATTATAAGAGACTCCAAACATTTGTGCCAGTAGGGCCTCCCCCGAGGTTTTTCATTTGGGAGCCATATGCTCTGCACTAGGACAATGGCACGGGAAGTTATTTTAATAGTCTGATCAACTGTCTCCGCGAAGAATTGCGCTATGACGGAATGCCCCATGTGACGAATTGCCCTGCTACCAATTGTCTTTCGACGATAGGCCAGTAGCCCCTAGATTTCAGCTCGCTGCTTCTGCGTTCAGTGCCTACGATTGAAATGTATTCGGTGACCACGGTCCACACTCGACCCGCTGCTTCAGCGCTCAACGGCTACGGTTAAAGGGCAAAGGTAAATCGAGGCGACAAGGTAACGCTTCGGCAGCCACTGAGTACACATACCAGGGCTCTGTGCAGAGCGGATCGCTGCGCGAAAGCAGGACTGGTGCAAGTGCCAGACAGACGTCTACGAGAGGGGCGGTTTCCGGAAGCGTCCCGCAAAAGAGAAAGTAAACTCACGTTCACGTGGTCATTGACGTGCTTCTCGTCCCGATCGAGGAGGTTGAGCCCGATGGTGAGCGTCTCGACGCAAGACGGCGACCTCTTGTGGACTTTCTTCTCCTTTTTCTCCTTCTTGGCCTTCTTCTTGGAGCCCTTCTTGTCCTCCTTGTCGGACTCTGCGACGTCCTTGCCGGTGTCCGAGCCGGGCTCGGCCGTTGCCGCGTTCGAATCTTCGCCCTTGGACCCAGAGTCCGCGCCGCCCACCTTGGTCTCCAGCTCGATCTTCTCCTTGCGGAGGTCCTCGCCCTTGGTGTCGGCCACGTCGTCCAGGAGCGGCAGGGTGGACTCGTTCAGGTTGGCGCGAGAGCCGGACCTGGAGCTCTTGTCTTTGGACTCCATGGCACTTGACTGGAGGAGAGGTGACCTCGAGTGGTCCTTCTGGATGCTCTTGAGACTCTGCAGGTGGAAAAGAGCGCCACTTGAGTGACTATTCATGGCGTCTGGTGGGGTCGATTAAAGCAATGTCGCTTCTCGAGGTAGGCGGAATTACTTATTAAGAGAGTGAAGTTAATTGGCCCCCATCTGCACCCATACCTCGGCAAACCTCACTCATGAGGGCCCTCACTCACCCTCACTCACCCTCATCTTCACAGGTGAGGTGAGGGTGAGTGAGTTTCTGAACCAGGAAAATTCATGAGTGTGAGGGCGAGTGAGGGTGAGTGAGGGTGAGTGAGGGCCGTGAGGGCTGTGAGGGCGGTGAGGGCCGTGAGGGCTGTGAGGGCGGTGAGGGCGGTGAGGGCGGTGAGGGCCGTGAGGGCAGTGAGGGCGGTGAGGGCTGTGAGGGCGGTGAGGGCGGTGAGGGCCGTGAGGGCCGTGAGGACCGTGAGGGACGTGAGGGCGGTGAGGGCGGTGAGGGCTGTGAGGGCTGTGAGGGCTGTGAGGGCTGTGAGGGCGGTGAGGGCCGTGAATGCGGTGAGGGCCGTGAGGGCGGTGAGGGCGGTGAGGGCTGTGAGGGTGGTGAGGGCCGTGAGGGCGGTGAGGGCCGTGAGGGCCATGAGTGCGTGAGGGCGGTGAGTGCGTGAGGCGCCCTTCAGATCGAGCATCTTTCTCAGCAATTTTGGTGTTAATGGCGGGTTGTTCTCTAGCTTTCCCTAGATCGACACGAATTGCTGAGATCGGGTCCGGCTCGAAATAAGCAAGCAACTCGGAGCAATTCGAATACGTTTGAAGCGGCTGCATCCAATCAGGGACGAAAATTTTCACGTTATACCTGGTGACGGTGATGATGTCACCCAAAGACTTGGTTCTGGTTTGAAATCGATCGTTTTTTTTTTTTGGAAATAAACTGTTTCAGAAATGTGCATTAGTATTCTTAACGAGATTTAAATGCATAAAAACACGTTTATAACACGTAATTGTGTCTAAATAGTGCAAGAAAAATAAAATTTTAAATGACGATGGCAAATTGCAGCAATTGGTTGCTGCGTGTGATCGCGGGCGGCCCGTGTTGCTGGTGTTGCGACGTAAAGTTTTTGGGCGAAATTGCCCCATCTGAAGCTGGCCTGAGTGGCGTGAGGGCCATGAGTGACGTGAGGGGCGTGAGGGGTGTGAGGGCCGCAAGGGCGGTGAGGGGCGTGAGGGCGGTGAGTGGCGTGAGGGCGGTGAGTAGCGTGAGGGCGGTGAGTGGCGTGAGGGCGGTGAGTGGCGTGAGGGCGGTGAGTGGCGTGAGGGCGGTGAGGGCGGTGAGTGGCGTGAGGGCTATGAGTGCGTGAGGGCCGTGAGGGCGGTGAGGGCCGTGAGGGCCGTGAGGGCGGTGAGGGCGGTGAGTGGCGTGAGGGCTATGAGTGCGTGAGGGCCGTGAGGCCGGTGAGGGCCGTGAGGGCGGTGAGTGGCGTGAGGGCGGTGAGTGACGTGAGGGCCATGAGTGAGTGAGGGGCGTGAGGGGCGTGAGGGCGGTGAGGGCCGTGAGGGTGGTAAGTGCGTGAGGGCCGTGAGGTTCAGTGAGGGTGAGTGAAGGGCTGAAGGTCAGTGTGACTGTGAGGGTGAGGATGAGTGAGGGGCTGAGGGTGAGTGTAGCTGTGAGGGTGAGGGTGAGTGAGGGGCCTAGGTGACTGTGGCTGCGAGGGTGAGGGTGAGTGAGGGCGACCTAAAATGCCGACCTCTGTCTGCACCCCATAACAAAAAAACATTGTCCCAGTCAGGGTCAAGGGTGCAAGGGCAAGTCAGATCTTCAGCGGGACGGGTTGAGAACAGCAACCGGGCAGTTCTGAGAATATCAAGCGCAGAATTCGGGCTAATGATGAAGTAACTACATTGTGGAAGAACATGCAGCCAAGTAAACTTTATTCCTAAATGCGTGTCTAAATTATTCTTAAAGCACAACTCATCCAGCATATCCACAACTAGTCCGTTATAGCAATAATAACAATAAAATTAATTATAATAATAATTATTGTTATAACTATTATTATATTATCATTTCTTACTATTGTTCAATGCTCCTGAGGGACCGTGAGGTTTAAGCGGGGGCAAAAATAATCTATATTTTTGTTACAAATAAAAAGATAATCAGCGGTATCTAATCGAGACACCTGTCCTAAACATGGTACAGCGCACTGTCAAGATTAGGCTTGAAAAAAGTAAAATCAGTAAAAACATTCAAAGATAAAGGGGGGGGGGGGGGGGGGGGGGGATAGAGAGAGAGTCTAGATCAGGGGTCTCAAACACGCGGCCCGCCGGCAACCGCTTGCGAGTCCGGATTCCCCTGTCTCGAGCCCTAGAAATGACGTGTGCCATGCATCGTGATCTCATCGCGTCGATTTTTTTTTTTCGACTCGAAAAGTAGCTCTGCTATTTATACTTACGTGTGGTCATTTGACCTTTGTTTCGCTTTATTTATTGCTTTCCAGCTTTTTGTAATGTTCAACGATTCCGCTACTAGGCTGCAAGCCCCAACTATTCGTCGAAGAATGCATTTCGGGTGTGCGAGCTCTCAATCAGCAGAAGCAAAGATAAAGTGCTATGAGCTCGAGATTCTCCCCTACAAAAATAATCACTATTCCTGACTGCTTTTTAGAGGCATAGTGAGCCTCGTTAATTCCTGCGTGAATTGAGCAACGGGAACAACAGTGTACTCGCTGTCTTGTCCCACTCATAATTCCGGCACTGAAATAAATGTTATGGCGCAAACGAGCTGATGTACATTAAACATGATTTAAAAACCCCGAGACTGCAGGTAACGACACACACTTAAAAGTCTTTTGAGCGTGTATGTCAAAACACTTTCGAGTGTGTATGTCGTTATTTGCAGTCTAGGTTTTTTTTTTAAATTACATTCCAGCACGTTGGCGATGCGGTGTCATTTTAGTTCTTGTCATCACACCAGGTCAGAGCCCAAAGTAGTCATATAAACCAATCATATATAAAAATGCCAATGGCAAAACTGTGGGTTCGCGAAAAAACACAAAGCAGGAGGTTCTTTCTCATAAAAATATTTTGTACCCCCTTTCCCCCCGTCTTACGTCGGCCCTCGACCTTTCTGATGTGGGCTCTTTGGCCCCCACACTAAAATGAGTTCGAGACCACTGGTCTAGATTGTTGAAAGAGATTCGCGTCCGGGATGGCGAAGACAGTATTTCTTGGAAGTGAGGGTAGAACAAGGAACGATGCTCACATGACCGAAAAGGCGCATGAAAATTCGCAAAGCCTACAAGGTCGGTGGAACCGTTAATTACTTCATGCAAAAATAAAATATCACCAGAGAGTCTTCGCTCCGTAAAGAGCACTTTAAGAATGTCGTTGTAATCATACCAGCACCTTCTTCCAGAGTGCTTATTGTAACAATTGACAAATAAAACGTTTCTGCACATTTTCCATCCATGACGCATCAGTGGCAGTCGGCGAATTCCATATCACATCGGATAACGCATAAATAATTCCTAAAGTCAATTCCGATAAGCGATATAGCAGACCGATCAATCGGACAGAGGAGGCTGGAATCTGTGAAACATGATAAGAAAATGAAAGTCTCGAGTCCAAATAGATCCCAAGTGATAGATCACGGTGACGCGTAGGGACTAGTCATGAACATAGCGGTAGGAGAATACATCGCCTTAATACGGCATTGATAAAACCTCTCTTGTCAACGTCAAAGGGATGCTGAACCGAAATCTGGATTCCCCAAAACACGGCGGCAAAAGCGTGCAACGGGATGCTACCAACACCAAAACATCACTCATACAGCGATATCTCAAACGGGTGACCGTATTTTTCAAAAAAAAAAAAAAAAAAGAGGCGCATTTGACAGTGGTTTTTTCTCGAAAAAACCACTTGTTTTTTCGAGAAAGAGAGGGAACGGCCTCGCGTCTTTTCCGCCTCGCCGCCTTGAGGGGTCGAAACGGAGAGGAGGAAACGAGATATCTTGACGTCACGCTTCTCGTCGCCCTCGTTCAATCTCGACCTGTTTTTCCCAAAAATACGGCCGTCGATTCGAGATATCGCCTTACGAGTAGTGCTGAAGGGATTGTAGCGTCCCGCCTACAGCTCCTGCATTGTTTTCTGAAATCCAAACTTCGGCTCACCATCTCTTTAAGCACTAAGAGGGTTGCGGAACACCACTCGTTTGTAATACACTGCAGCCGCCCAATAATCTTATAATCGCGTGTAGACATTTTCCAAAAAAGAAAAAAAAAAAAAAAAAGACGGTTTTATTTTGAGTGTTGGTGCGTATGGCGCGTGATCTGCTCGCTTTCCGAAGCGACGAACATGCGCCTGCTGGGCTGAGGAGATCGCCACGATGGGCTGAGGAAATGTAGATATTGGATTGGTGTATAGGGCGTTTTCAGATGACGTCAACCCGCCATTTTGTTGTTAGATGTCACCGCGATGAAACTTAGGTAAACTTAGATGAAACGGATCGGAAACGAGGATTGCGTCAACGTTCGGCTCCAACTTGACTCGATGCGGAGCGCTGACGCAGCACTCGTTCCCGATCTGTGTCCAGCCTTCGCTGGTGACGCAAGAAATGTCCGCACTACGGCCTTGTCTTCTAGGCGCTGTGTCGGTTCGCTGTGGGCAGCACAATGAATCGGGATCTACGTGTTCTGCGACGGATGATACTGTGCGATCAACTTGCAATATTGCATTGCTTCGGGTTTTTTTTTTTTTTTTTTTTTTTTTTTTTTTTTTTTTTTTTTATGTGAAGCTAGTCAAGATTTAGGAATCCCCTTGTAGCTGAAAGCCACGGCACGCAAGGACGAAAACATTCGGCACGGTCGAAAGGGGGATCGTTTCGCCGTGGGCACTGCGTTTCAGCAAGATTCATTTTCCAACACAAAGTGTGATGTGATGGGCATGCAGTCTGTGTTATAACGCACGGGCCGCAAGAACGTTGGAGGACACCTACCGCTGACTGGTCACGCAACGTAAGCACGGAAAAATGAGAGCTGCGACCCCTT